AGGATTAGCTTGTAGGGATGCTAGGATTAGCTTGTAGGGATGCTAGGGTTAGCTTGTAGGGTTGTGGGAGTTAGCTTGTAGGTTTGCTAATACATGGAAAAGACTGCGCCTGAGTCAACGGAAAATTAGTGGTAGTAGTCTGTTTTCAAAAGTTAGTATTACACATACCTTCTTCTAGGAATTTGTTATGATGCGTAACCATGGTAACAAGGCAGTTTTCCACAACCAATAGCAGCTGATTAACATCTCAAAAGCTCAAATAATATCTCAACTACAGCCCCAAATCTCAAATGAGTTGAAAGGATGTTCTGTGGACGCATTCCCATCTACCTGCCAGCCGTGCTCAAGTGCCTGACCACTGAGATCCTGGAACTAGCAGGAAACACGGCTCATGACAGTGGAAGGACAGGATCGTCCCTTGGCACCTACAGTTGGCTGTCCGCAGCAACGAGGAGCTCGGCAGACTGCTGGGAGGAGTGGCCATCGCTCTGGGAGGAGTTCTGCCCGGCATTCAGGCGGTCCTACAGCCCGGGGGAACCGAGAGGCCAGCTGAGTGGGTGAACGGATCAGACGGCATCTGCAGCCAGTTTCTTCGGATCCACTGTGGGATGGACCTTTACAAGAGATCCTTCCTGTCTACAGCCATCAGCATCTATAACATCTCTTAATGAAACGAGGATAACAAGTTAAAACAATAAATAATTTCCCTTTGGGATTAATGAAGTTGTTGGGGTTTTTTTTATCGGCTAGTATTACACATACCAATATATACCAAGAAAAAAATATATATACATTTTCTTTAATGTGAAAGTTTTTATTCTTTGTTGCCATATAGCAAGTGAACCATGGATCATTACTGGCTCAATTGGTCCAGCGCTTGGGGACCCATGATTCAAATAATACTCTTACTGCGGTTGTGTTAATAGGTGGGCAACTTTAGGAGAGATTAGGAACCAAACCTTTCACCATTTTATTCCCATTCAGTATTTGTTTTCAAATCTATTCCATTTATACGTTTACCTGTCTTTTAATCCATAAATCGCCTGCCTGAGTTGCTTAAACGTGAAGTGAAAGCCTTTGCTGCGTGTTGTGAATCAGTTTGTGTACCGTCTGCTCAGAGCTGTTGTAACTGTGTGTTTGTTTGTTTGTTTGTTTGTTTGTTTGTTTGCTGACTGTAATGCTGCCCTGGAGCTTCCTCTCCTCTACACTCACAATAAGTGCTTTTTGTTCCAGAGCTTTGCTTTTATAAACTCCGAGGATGTCCTGTTTTTTACCGTGTCTTTTTAAACATACTTGGTGCACTGAGTCGCGTCACCGTGCGCGCCCACACGTGTATATTTTTATAAAGCCTCGATGAGTCGGTGAATGTATCCTCCGAAAGCAGCTGGCTTAACTTGGCTACGCTCTGTGACCGTCTGTAATGGGTGGGCGCAGCTGGAAAACGAGTTTGTGCTTCTACTGTTTGTACTCGTTTGTCTGTTTGACGGAGAAACAAAATTAATGATGTTTGAATAAAAGCTGCTTTGACTTTTTTCCCCTTTCTGTTGCTGATCGATGGGCTTTGTTTTCCTGTGGAGCATCTCTGCAGGTTTATCTTTTCAGCACAAGCAACGCAGAGGATTTAAAGTAGAAAAAGTAAAGTCATGAAGACCAAGCTAAAAGAAAAAAAAAAATCTGCAAAACATTTTTCTCAAACCCATAGTTAATGCTTCGTTAAATAAAAATAAATTTGTTACGAGATGCCAACTACTACATGTCCAAGAATGGGTCACTAGTTCAACTTTTTCAGCCGTTTTTGTTTACTTACACACACAGCCATCCTAATGTACGATATGCAGGTCAGTAACGAGACTCGAGCTTCCACGTGGTTTTCAGCTGATTCAGCAAAGTGCTTTGTTTACATTGCTTATGAAACATTCACTATTGTGATCAATTTGTCTTCCGTACGTTTTTCAGCATCTTTCTCGTTCCACAGTTTTTGTGCTATTTCAACAAATCGTAAAACAAAACATTCGGCTCTTCCAGGACCATCTTGCTATAACTTTTGGTATTGGTGCAACTTTAGCTTTTTGAAATATTTAGCCTTTTCTGCCATTTTTTCCTCATAGAAAATGAATTGAGTTCATTTTACAGCCACATCTTTAGCTCTGTTTACAACCTTTTATTGCTCCTTTCACATTCCGTTTTGCTTCAGCAGCTACTTTCAGCTAATGTCAGCTGTTATTTTCAGCTGTTTTATGCTCCTTTCAGATTCTTTCTATTAACTACAACGTTTTTGTGCTTCTAACTTCTTTCTGCCAATTTCATAATTTTTCTGCAAATTTCAGCGTTTTCTATTTCAGCAGCTATTTAGCTGTTTTTTGCTCATTTCATATTTTTTTCCAGAGAATTTCCACTTTTTTATGCCCATTTTTTTCAGCCTAATTGGACAAACGTGTTATTTATGCTTTCTTATGCTAATTTAAGCTTGTTACATTTTTTTTAGCATTTAGCTAATTTCAGCCGTTTTCAGATCAATTAAAGTTTTCGTGGTGATTTCTGCTACTTTCAGCCTAATTTACTTCTTTATGCTATTTTCAGATATTTATGCTCCTTTCAGCTTTTTTCTGCTAGTTTTAGCTTTTTCTGCTATTTCAGCTACTGTTAAGCTGTTTTGTGCTAAATTTGGGTTTTTCGGGTAAATCCACATTGCTTGAGCTCATTTCAGCTCCTTCCACTTCTGGTAGTTTAAGCTTCTTTCTGCCTTGTCAGCTATTTTCTTTGCTAATTTCAGCTTTTTAAGCCAGTTTCCTAATTTTTGTGCTAATTTCTTTATTTCTTTATTTGTTGTTGATTTTTTAATTTAAACTTAATTCAGCAAATATATGTTCTTTCTGCTTTCTTCTGCTAGCTTAAGCTTGTTTTGCTGTTTCAGCATGTTTTTAGCTAATTGCAGTGGTTAGCTAATTGCTAATTGCAGGAAATGCAATTTCTCTAGTTATCCTTGATTTCATTCGGTCAGTGAGCAGCTTTAATGTGTTTTCAAAGCTTCAGTAATTTGAATTGTTGCCCATTCATATCAATCAAGATACGACACAAATGTACCAGAACCACGTGGGACCTGAAGATTATAAATGCTGTGTCTTTAGATAAATGTCTAACAGTTGGTTTTATTCAAGCCGGACTGAAATAAAACCATATCTTCTCACATTCTTTGTCTCATTTTTGTCTAATCCTCTTCAGAGTTGCTGCCCTTTTTTTGGTCCTGGTTGAATCTGTGCCTCCTGAGTCCAGAAGGCGGATCTGAAAGCCCAAGTGGACTTCGGCTTTTTGAGACTAAATCTATTCATGGTTTCTCGTTGCCCGCGCACACATGCTTGTGGATTTGATTGTCTGAAACCACAGGGACGCATCGAGCGGAGAGCCAAGATGCAGAGCAGCGCTGTTGTGTTGTGTCGGTTGCTTAGCAACCACCTCCACCTTGAGAGAGGGCGAGATAGGTGGAGAGAAAACAAAGATGAATAAATGGGGACACGCAGAGAGGGAAAAATGCCAAACAAGTGTAATAAGTAATCCGGAGGAGTAATGGTGTTTGTCCGATGTTTTGGACGCAGACTCAAACGTCGGCTCGACTGGAGAACGATGAGCAGAGATGTGAAGGTTTTTACCTCCGGTGTCGACTTTGATCAACAAAAATCCATTTGGTTCAATCAATTTACTTCGGTTCTTGAGGCTTCCTGTTTGTTTCTGAGAGTTTAGTTGATATGAGAGCTTTTCTTTCAGTGGTCAAAATACAAACAAAAATAACTGATATGAATAATTTCCAGTTGTGTCATTTTAAATATATAAAAAAAAACTAAGTTACATTAAAGTAGTTGAAAGCGTTGGAGCACAAGGCTTCAA